GCGTTCTTGAAATCAAGTGTGATTGTACTTCTATTGCAGGTCTTCGCATATTGCCAGTTTTTGGGTCTGCAAGAGCCCGAGAGATTTTCCGTCCGAGACGCCTGCGGCGAATCACCGCCGCCCCTGCTTTTTGGAAGCGTCTATGTGGGCGAACGTTGTGGCCACAGCTCGGCCAAGCTATCGGGCGATGTGTCCCCCCAGCCGTTGTGAAAACCATTCGGGGAGCACGTGGGGGAGAAAGGAAGAAGAGGAGGGGAGGGAGGCGAATGGAGGAGGAGAAGGCCTCTTGGGAGCCTCCTGGAGTTTCCTGGGAGCCTCTTGGTTCCTGGAGGCCCCTTGGGGGCCTCCTTGGGCCTCCTAGTGGGCACCAATGGGCTGGATTGGTGCAGAGGGGCTATCCGTCTTCGCTTGTGCTCTTCAGGACTTCCCCGAAGTTAACCAAGGTGCGGTCTCCGGGCCCTGGCCCATAACCAAGAAGGACTGGGAGCCGCACGCAAAGAAATTTCTCAAGGGCCGATGCGTTTTCCTACATACAGACGGTGCGCGCTCATACAAAATGGGCCTCAACCGAAAGCGAACCCTCGATGGAGTAATCCACGATTTCGTTGTCCACAAAAAGAAGAAGGTCGGGGGCAAACGGGTGAAACCCAAATACGTGCAGTTTTTTCGCCATCGGATGCCAAGCGGCGGCGTGATATGCACGAAGGGCGGCACACAAATCATAGACAGGATTTGGCGCCGCGTGCGCGAGGTCATGTCCAGTCGCTCCCCATCGGTGAACGAGCGTGGCTGGGACAACCGAGTGCGATCCGCTGAATGGCTGTTTATGGAGTCAGACTGGCGTGATGTTTGCAAAGTTGAACTCCGATTCGTAGGCGTCCGCTAGGCATTCGTGTGTGAACGCTTCTGTCCGATCTGCAGAAAACACATCGATCTGGATCTTTCAAGCCAGATGGCTGGTGGGGTGCGGTCTGGCTGGGCTGGCTGCTCTCGTTGGCCTGGCAAGTATTACTTCTGCCTCGGCCGGTCAATCGCAACCGCTTGAACAAAGTGTCATTGTCGGGGCTGTTGCTGTTTTGATGCGCGGCTAGCGCGGCTGTAACTTGAGCAGGACGGGTCTGTCATGCATGTCGACGAGAGGATGGCAGGGGCGCCGACGAGGAAGATCTCGACGAGGACGATGAAACACAGATCTTGGGAACCGCCCCTGGCATATATATATATATATATATATATATATATATTTATGCATACATACATACATACATACATACATACATATATGTATATATATGTATATATACATATACACATGCAAAAATATACCCATTCCACTGGCAACTACTTCTCCCTGCCCCTTCTGACCCTTCAAGGCCACCTCCGGCCCTGTGCACTCTCGAGTCAACGTGTGAACAATCGGGACGATCGCCCCGCATGGCCCTGTCGGCTACTACATATGACTACGACTACTTCTACTACTACTACTACTACGACTACTTCTACTACTTCTACTACTACTTATACTACTACCACTGCCACTACCACTACTACTACTACTACTACTACTACTGCTGCTGCTACTACTACTACTACTACTACTATCACTGCAACTACTACTACTACTACTACTACTACTACTACTACTACTACTACTACTACTACTACTACTACTACTACTACTACTACTACTACTACTACTACTACTACTACTACTACTACTACTACTACTACTACTACTACTACTACTACTACTACTACTACTACTACTACTACTACTACTACTACTACTACTACTACTACTACTACTACTAGACCACTACTACTACTACTACTACTACTACTACTACTACTACTGCTACTATCACGATGATTACTGCTACTACTACATACTACTACGACAACGACGACGACGACGACGACGACGACGACGACGACGACGACGACGACGACGACGACTACTACTACTACTACTACTACTACTACTACTACTTGCACTACTTGTGCTACTACTGCTACGGCTGCGACTGCGACTACTACTACTATTACTACTCCTACTACTACTACTACTACTACTACTACTACTACTACGGTAACGATTAGTACTTTCAAACATACTTGGATAACGACTTCCACCACCACTACTACTACTACTACTACTACTACTACTACTACTACGAACACTACTACGACTACTACTACTACTACTTTTACTTCTACTGCTACTACTTGTGCTACTATTACTACCAATTCTACTCATGCTACGCCTCCCACTGCCACCACTTCTACTACTTCTCTACCACTACTACCGCCTGACTACAACTACGACTACGACGACTACTACGACTACGACTACGACTACGACTGCGACGACGACTACTACTACTACTCCTACTACTTATATTTCTACTACTACTACTACTACTACTACTACTACTACTACTCTCACTGCTACTTGCAGTACCACTTTCACTACTACTACTTCCAGTACTTCCACTACTACCACTACTACTACTACTACTACTGCTGCTACTACTGCTACTA